AGAGCGATAACAAAATGTTTAGTTTTCGTAACAGCTAAAACTTTTTTCGGTGTAAACTTTTCGGCAAGTGCATATAAATTGAATCTAACTTTGCACTCATCTATGCAAACATTCACGCACACACACATACACTCATGTTGTGTTTTGTGGATGTGGATTGGCAGAAAGGGGAAAAATTTTAATACCCTTTGGGATAATATTATATTTAAACTACAAAAATACAGTTCAGATTTTTTGTTTATCATTTCAAAACTGCTTACTAGTGTTGCCATTTATAAAAATATAAATGGTCAACATAAATTTAATGTCTTTTCTATAAATATGCTTTATTCTAAAAACAAAAGATGTGCAAGAGTGAAGCAATCTTCGATCCTAGAAATCGCCAATCCTGTTCCAATTTTTTCGGCATAAAAAAGTCGATTGCAATTTCAAGCATTTTTGGGCGTGTCTCGCCGCCCCTTCGCCCTGGACAAACTTTGCATATATTTCACAACAGAGTGCAAAAAGTGAGGGCGAGAGGGGGCTGGGAAGATGTCCTTTTTATCCTTCTCCTTCTGTTCTCCTTTCCCTATGTCGATACTTTTGATATGCAAAAGATATGAAGGGACAGCTGTTTCCTGCTCCATTTGCTTGCCAAAAACTTTTACCAGGACCAAATGCATTCGCAACTTCAAGTTGAAGTTGAATTGAAGTTAAGGCAAGGAGTCACCGGTGTGGGCGTGGCTCTGTCTTCGATGCGAACTTTAAATACGGAAGTAGACGAAAAATGCATTGAAAATTGCATAAGGTTTGCCGGCGAAGTTTTTAAACTTATTTTATGGTTATTAGCATTTTTAACTGCCTTAAACTATTTACGTTATCCTAAGGTGAACAGGTGCATTTTCCGGGAAAATCGAACATTGCTTTTATAAAAAGGTTAAACTTTTCTAAAGAATTAAAATTTATTTTGAGTTTACGGTTGCTATTTCGATAATGGCACAAGTGAAGATTGCAAACACTATGAACTTCAAAAAATATACCATTAATGCAATTTATTGAACGGCTTTAAGGTTATTATCATATCTTAAAAACTTAAAAATGAAAATGAAATAGATAGAAGAAGCGAAAAAGCCTTTGTCCTATTAAAATATGTGTTATGAAAATCTTTTTTTAACATAAATAAAATCTGGATTTATATCAACCCAAGCAACTTTTTCGTTGGTCTCGCTGTAGTTTTTTCCAGTGCGTAACACCTTTGGTGCTCAAATGTAATTTATTTAGTCTACTTCACGCTCATAATGCCACACATCTCAGGCGAGAGGAGGAATTGGAGAAGGACTTGGGTGACGTGGAGCATTCATGTCAGTCGCCAGGTTTCGCCCCCTTTTTCTACACCCCTGTTTTATTCTTACTTGCAAGTGGCAAGTCGCTTGGAAAAATTATGTTGCACGTGATATGCTTCAGCAAATTCGCTACATGTAACGCGTAATGGGTTGGGGGCGGTGGGAAGTGCTCTGCTTTTCCGCCCTGCACTAAAGATGAGTTCCACTTGGAAATATAAATTGAAATCATCAACTGGCTTTGTGCGTTTTATCAACATTTTTACGTGCCGCGCTTCAAGTTTGCCTTAACGCTGCACTGAATCTGCCACGCCCACTTTGCCCCACTCCCAGCATTTCCCACTGAATCAGATTTTTCCTTACTGTGTTTCTGGCTGCGAGTGCCAAGTGCAAATTAAGCAATTTTCCAAAGGACTTTTGGCTGCTTTTTGGTTTCGCCAGCTTAATGTCTGACTGAGTGCGCGGTTTATTAAGATAAACGATGATGAACGGTGGCGCTGCCTTTTCCCCTTCCCCTTTACCGATGTCTGGGCCATGGTTATCCACCTGCTCGGCTTGTTAATTGACTGCTCTGCTCTCCAGCGCTTTTCATTTTCCTCCTCGCACACGCCACCCGAATAAAAAACAACGGGTGTGCGGGAAAATGGAAGCGGGAGCAGCTCATTCTATTAGGGCATTTGCATGCTTATCTCATTAACACGAAACACAAGAGTTCCGGGCAGAGGTCGGATTTTCCAGGGATACCCTCACTGGTGCTTTCTTTTGTGGTTGAAAGGCTTTAAATTATAAATATTAAATAAGGCTTAACAAATATTGAACCGTTTGTATTATGAAGTTATAATTAATTATAATATTTATTGGGCTAGTTAAAAGTTTTAGGTCAATGATAAATTATTTCCTTAAATAAAAAAAATACTACATTCACATGAAATCGTAAATAAAATACCTTTACTTTAAATATTGTTTTATTAGAGTTTAAAGCAATTTTATTAAACCGACTAAACAGTTTTGTATTTTGAAAGGGCATAACCTCAACACCTTTTACCTTTTTTGCCCATTTGTTTCAATTTTTTCGCAACATAATTCGCATGTAAATGTGTCGAGTGTGTGGGAGTTCTGGTTTGCCAGTGTCCTTCAGGTTTTTCTCCTGTCTCCTGGCTACTTGACTGCTGTGGAACTTTTGCGCTTTTGTCGTGGTTTTCATTATCCCTTGCCGTTTGGCTTTTTGCTGCTCATAAGCCGCAACAACCCTTCCGTTGTGTCCATTTTGGGTCCACCTCAAAGCAGACTGCAACTGACACATTTGCCAATATTGACTGTACACAGTGGACCAACATCCAGCCAGCCACTCGCTTTATAGAATTTGCAGCCGCCTCTTAGTTTCTCCCCTCATTTCCGGCTCTTTCGGCCTATGCAAACAAAGCGTCCTTACTCGACTCGCTCTTTTTACCACTCATTAGTGACAATTTTCTTGTAGTTGACATTTGCCACGCCCCCCGCCCACACACTTTGCGGCTGCAGGACAAAGTTTTTGTATTTATACCACCATCTCGCCCTTCATTGCCTTAAAGTCAGACGACATTTAAAGCCAGACCAGACAGGAAAATCGAAAAAAAATGAAATAAAATCTCGACTCTTTTGTGGCATGTAAATGGCGGCGGGCAGGTAAGGTTTAAAAAAAAAGAATAGACGTATCAGGCCTGGTAGGACGTTAAATTTTGATGGAAAACCAATTAATTGGAAAAATTAAAATCAAATATTTGCCAAAGCGCTTGAACAACACTTCAACGGAAACCACAAAAAATAGAAAAGAAAAATTAAGAAGAACACAGAAAGAAAAAATTTCTAAAGGCTGTGTGTATGCAAAACACTTTTGAAAATTATATTCTAGGCTTGTTATTTTATTTTTATTTTGGTAGCTTACAATATTTATTTTAATTTAATTTTAAACCAGCAATTAAGATTTATAAATATTGCTTAATCGTACATTTTTTGTTCAGTGCAGAGGAAAAAATATAGCCGAGCAGGTTGCTCTCTTTTTCGACGTCAGATCTAAGCGTCGTCCTTCATTTATCCTTTCCCCGGTACGAGTGTGTGAGTGCAGTGGGGTGGAGGGGCAGGAACCCTCAATCAGCGCATGTTGGCGCCCACAAACTCACGTGCAAACACTTTACGACAGAGACTTTTGAAGGAGCAGGAGAAATGAAGGTGGAGTGGAAGCCGCACATCCAGGACATCCACATCCTCATCCAGGGAGAAGTTGCGCTCGTTTTGAAGTGCAATTTAGCACAGCCACAGATTTTCCTGCCCTTTCCGCCCCACAGATGCTCTCCAAGTATGCGGTAATTAATGCAATGGGGGCGATTTGGGGAAAGTGGGCAAGGAAAACTTACGCAACGCGTTTTGTAACCGCCATATGAAAGCTAGTGGCCAAGTCTAAAGTATTGTCCAGGTTATGCAAGAAAAATGGCAGGGATAACAGATACTTCAAGTTTGTTGCATAAAGACTTAAAGCTCGAAAAAATCACTAATTAGCTTAGTGTTTTTTATTTCACATTGAATTTAATTTCTATAAATTAATGTCATAGTAACTCTTTCTTTTTTCTTAGACAAGTGCACTACGATGCTTAAATATATAAAGGTCTAAAATTACTTTTAGTATTAAATTTAAACCTCAATATAGCCCCCTGCATTTGGCTATATTTATCATCAAAGCTTTAAGGGTCATTTAGAAAGGGCAAGGTTCACTGCCCATCGTAAACTGTCACCGCACCGCTCTCCCCAACGCCGGATTTTCTTTAAGAAAGCGGAAGAAAATCTTTAAGATTTCCTGCCCTGCCAAATGATATAAACAAACACACAATTTGCGCCACTTAGCAGCAAATGGACGACCCATTAATAATTCCATTTTTTCGTAAGGTCAACCACAAAAAAGTCAGGGGGCGATGAACGAGGAAAAAAACAAAGCAAGAAAACCGCCCAGATAATAAGGAAATATGACTTGGGGCGGACCACAAGATGTTGCGACCTCAAAAGTGGGTGGACTGGTTGGCTTGGAGTTTTGGGAGGCTGGCTCGGACATACACAAGTAAACACTGCAAGACGGTCTTGTAAAACAAGCCAGCAACAAGAACAACACAACACAAAACAATAAATTGAGCGAGGAGAAAGCCAAGGAGAAGGCGCTCTCTCGCTAATTGCTGGCCATTAGAAAAATGTTAATTGCCATTAAACGGGGATGTCCAGCTACTTCCGAGGGATAACCATTACGAATAGCGGGTATAAATAAACCCAATCGGAAATGAGCGGGATATTGATGAACCGTGAAATAAAATTAACACTCGTCGGTGTCTCTTTTCTGTCTATTTAGAAAACTTTCAATACCAGCGGAACAATTCCAATTCGATTTCAATTAAGTTGGTTGAAATGATTTTCCATTTTCGTTTTACACTTCCGCTTTTTCTCTTTTTTGAGCTGCTCACTCAGTGTGACAGGATAATAAGCTGGATGAACTGTCATGAACATTTTTAATTAAATTAAATTCAATATTCATAGATCTTTGTCCCATTGCCTTTTTGTTTGTCTTTCTATGATGACAGGGGCAAAACGAACGACGGAAATATGATTGCAAATAATTGCATTGGTTCTGGGTGCTGTAATGAAAAAAGATTTCACAGAAAGTTTTGTTTGACAAAAAATGTAATTTTTTTTAGGTTTATTAAGTGTGTTTCTGGATTTTACATTTTTACAGCATATTTATGCTTTTAAAATCGAACAGAATTTGGGCTTTTTGGCTTCATGGAGTATTTCATTTGAACCAGGCTTAAATTTTGTTAGGTTTAATTGCATAAAAGCAAGTCTTTTGTAGTGTAAAATATGTTGCTGGAGTTGGTTCCGAGAAGCTTGTCGCATACTTGGGCGCCCAAATTGCGTCCGAGCGATCGTTTTCGAAGTTCCACAGGCATCAAAAGTCCTTTCTATCGACTTAGGAACACAGTTTATGAAGTGTATTTCTGGATACGGCTAAATGCCGTTTTTTGTTTAAACAAGTGCTAAATCGTGTTAAGTTTGATTGTATAACAGCCTTTTGCATTGTAAAGTGTGTTGAAAGATGTCTTTTTTGGGAAGCCAAAGTTTATATTTCCATATCCTCAATACGGAAATCGGTTCCGAAAAGTTTGTCGCAGACTTGGGCGGCCAAATTGCGACGGGCGATCTTTTTCGATGTTCCATTAGCTGTAAAGTCCTTTCCGTCGACGTTAACTAACATGGTGAACAGCACGAACGGCGGTGCGCCTTTGCTGCCCAAATACTTATAAACGATGCCCGGACGCATATATGAAAGAACCATGCCAGGATGCATAGTCTTCCAGTCGTTGGGCAAGTTTGCGCGTGCTAAGTGCTTTTTTAGCTGAAAAGCGCATTGTGGAGCATCCTCTTCTTCATCCAAAAGGTCAGCACTCATGTTACGCATTTTGGCACCATCAAGCTTCCAGCTTTCAAAAAGTTTATGTAAGGCAAACGAGGCTAACGTCATCATTGGGAAATCTTCGGCTTCTAAATCCTTTTCCTTCTCGTCGGAGATCTTGGTGGTCATCTTCTCAATGAAAATGTCTGGCAAAGCCTGCTCACATGCTGCGTTTTTCGCTTCGGATTTTGATTTACCCTTTCCCTGGAACATCTTCGAGTTCACGCTGACATGGGCCGTGAATCCATCGTCCCGATTGCGCTTTATTGAGATGTTGCTTATGACTACGCCGTTTAACTCATTGAGGACCGACGAGGCGTCCTTCGGAATCAAGGTCTTAAGCAACATGCGGTTCTGCAGACTCTTCTTATTGGGTTCCACTGATTTCTTGCGATTCTTTGATGTTGGTTGCAACGGAGTGCCACCTTTCTCTCCACTTTCCTTGGTTGACTCAGCAACTGGATCAGATAATAGAACTGGATCACCAGAAGACTCTACAGCTGCAGTAACTTCTTCAGAAGATTCATCAGAAGGCTCAGCAGAAGTTGGCTCATCAGAAACTGGCTCATCAGCATCAGAAGAATCTAGAGCCCTGCTACCTTGTTCTCCACTCTCCTCAGTTGAATCAACAACAGGATCGGGTGATTTTTTGGGATCATTAGAATATTCTAAAGCCGGATTCTCAGAAGGTTCATCACAAGTTTCATTAGAAAATTCTTCAGATGGTTCATCAGAAGGTTCATTAGAATCTGGCTCATTAACATCAAAAGTACCTAATAGTAAAACCGAGTTAAAAAAAATTTCTGGAGAGAGTCAAAAACAGTAATATCACCTGCAACATTAGCTTCCTGATCAATTATTTCGTCATTGATGACACCTGGTTCCCCAAGGAAACTTTCCAAAAAAAAATCAGGTGGCGAGCCAGCAGACTCGGGGTTCTCCTCCTTGATTTGCATTGTCTGCAACGACATAGTATCTCTATTTTCGTTTAATTAAAGTAACTCCGCGAGAACTTAGTTGCACCAAAAGCTCGGCTTTATTTTTTCCTTCTTTCACACAGTATAAACTGCCACCAAAAAAATAATTTATAATTCTGAGTGATGATGACTTGTCAAAAAGCTGGTGACAGAACGAAATGGCTGTTGATTTGTATCGATGATTCAGGTATGTTCATATACTTATATCGATAAAATCTCAGTGTTGAGAATTGGATTGGGTTTTTTTTTCGATATATAATAAGAGTCGCAAAAATAGAAAAAAAAGGATGTCCCAGCTTTTACTTATTGTTATATTATAATTATTATTATTTTTAAATAATATTATGTTTTATGTTATGTTTACAAAGTACCTGTATGTAAAGATATGGCTCTAACCTAAAAAAATTTCAGAAAAGCATGATCCTAAAATCTTTTTGTTTTTGTTTCAACAATAAAAAATTTAAAACTTTATTTTTTAGCTAAAGGAAGTTTCAATATTTAGGTGGAGTTTTGAATTTGTTAATTGAACTTTGTTATTAAATTATAAATTGTAGAATCTTTAATATTTTTTGGTAAATTTCATATATTTCTCCCAAATATTTTTGGCCAACTGAATTCCCAATTTGATTGGCACTCGCTTTAAACGTTTTTATTACCTAAGGCAGTTTTTACACTTGAAATGGTCACACAAATCGATAGAGCACAACCCTTTCTATTTCGCAGGACCCCCAACCGTTTAACTTTGAACCACTCGATGGACTCACAATTCAGGTCGCTCGTCGGCGGGTTTATAAAAGGGGCGGAGGGGGTAAAATAGTTGCCGTGGCCATAATTGCTAAGCGTCTATAAAGTTGCCCTTGGTGTATTATGGGCCACAACAAGTTGGGTTGCACTTTCGGTTCGTGCACTTGCCAAAGGCCAAAAAGTCAGCAACGTGTTGGGTCTACCACAAAAACAAGAGCCGAGGCCAAAAAACACGGGAAAAACACGGGGCGAAATTCAACTAAAATAGAAGCGTTAAAATATTGCCAACATTTCCGCGCTTTTAAAAGAGCAAAAACCAAAAAAAATGATTGGAGGGTTGGAAAAGTTAGCACGGCCGCCTTTGGACCAAGAGCAGCTGATCCTGACCAAAGCTTTTACATTGGTGACTTGGAGCGGAAATTATGTAAATTTAAGTGTTGGGCGTGCCGCCTCCTTCTACATTGCCCGTTTTTGAGCAATGAAAACATGAAAGCAAAAATCCACATAGCGCCGAAAAAAAAAAAAAATGAAAACGCTGAAAAGATGCCAACAAATAACCAATAAAAAGCAACAAGCAACGAGCCAGTGGGGGCAAAAGGAAAACAGCATAAAGTTGTGCTTGGGAAATTTTCCACATTTGGTTTGGAGTTCAGTTTTCCCTTGTTTTTCCACGGTGGGCTTGTGGGGTGTAGAGTGGGGAGGGGCTTGGTGGGAGTGGGCAAAATTGGTCCTGGGCCTGGCAACAAAGTTTTCGTAATTGTTTTTGCATTTTGCGGCGCACACATTTGGGAGCGGGAGTGGAAAAGCGGGGCCCAAATGTGTCCTTTGGTGTATTAAAAAGTTTCACATTTCTTTTTAGAGGGCGAGGAGCTGGCCAAACATTTGCTGCCGTTTGGGTCTTGGTCCATTGCCCATTAACATTTTATATGCAATTATGATTATTTTACCATTGTGCATTTGCGGTAATCTTTGGGGAGCAAACGTTGAAAGTTGAGCTGGCCCGGCATACCGGGAATTTAAGGGGGCCCAGACTGGACCACAAATGTTGGGGAGTTGCTCAAAGATTTCGAGAAGCCCAATCGATAATTGTTTCAGTGGGTGAATGCTGGCTGGGAACTGCAATCACATGGAAACCACATGTTGCAGAATGTTAATTGAAACGGTGGGGAATTAAATTCCATTCTAACGTAATTAAAATCACAACCGAATATGGTTTGACTTTATTACCAAATATTTGTGAGATTGGGGCTTAAAAATATGAAAACATAGTTTAAATTAATACTATTTTGCCTAAATAAAGTGCCTATTCTGCCGACACTTAACGATTTAATAAAGCAAATTTAAACAACTTTTAATTGTTAAAAGAATTATATCTTTTGATTGTTTGATAATCGAATTTCGATCATTGTTTTGCCCGACCTTTTCATCTCCTGTGTTACAAGTTTAGAGACTTTCTCCTTGCCCTTTCTCTTTCACAATCCATTTCTGCCTTAGTTCCATATGCAGAAGCCCAATAAAGGCTGTTCTGTACCTGACCATTGGCCCAACGTGAGTGACTGCAACCAGCAGCCATTCTGTGGTCATTAGCCCAAACCAAACTTGACTTCTACTTTGTCCCTAGATTTTCTGCAGAATTTGCAAAAAAGATTGCACAAGGAGTGGGTGACGAGAGGAGAAAGTGAAGGGGGTAAGAATGTATCCACAAAATGCGACGGCGACACAAATCTTCTTTATTGCTTGCTACGTTTTGCATGCACAGCCAGTCCTGTCACACTAAAAGAAAAGTTTGGATATACTTATGTATTTAAATGTTTCATATTTCGAGCCCCATTTATTCTTTCTCTAAATTTTTTAAATAAAAAGCTTTTTATAAGTCGGATTTTATGATTTAAAAACAATAATGTTCTTTTATTAAAGCCATTCTGAATGTCATACAATTTGGATAAAAAGTATTCTTAGTGCCTTTATGTTACCATGTTAGTGTTTGTCCTCTACCGCTGTCTGAGTGTGGACTTTGACAAGAGGACATTAGGCCGGGCCCTGGACAAACAACTAATGGCCAGTCGAGGGCATTTTCCCTGGTCACAGGTGCTCGGGCTTACCTTCGGCCAGGTTGTTTTAAATTAAAAATCTGTATGAACACAGACACAGCGAGCGCACAACATGCTAAATATTCTTTACATGCTTGTGCTGAATTTTTGTGATTTATGCTTGGGTTCCATTCAATAATTTTATTGGTTTCGTACGAGTTTTGGAGCTGATGCTGCTGCTGTTGCTGCTGCTGCTGGAATATTGCTCATACGCCGCATTGCCCGCCCAGCGCAACTCAATGTCCACATGAGCGGATATTCTCTAATGTTGACTTGATTATCAACAGTCGTTGCACATCTTGCATGTTCGCTACTGATGCTGCATGTTGCAGCTGGCATTTGACAGCTGATGAGGTTGCACATTTCCCACTGGTCGACGAGTTTTCATCTAAACTCTGTCCAACTCGTCGGTTGCCATGAACAGACCAATTATGCAAAACTGACGGGAAAGCCCTGAAGCTAAAAGCAACTGATATTGTTGTTTTTTGTTACAGTATTCATTCAGGTTGAGAAAGAAACCAATATATTTATAAAACAACAGCTCAAGACTATTACATGTCACGCATTCTTTGTGCAATTTTTGAAATATAAAGCTTTAGATCTTACAAAAGTGGTTCAAATATTTGACATACATAGGAGCATGGCAACCTAAATACGAAATAATCGCAAATCAATATATAATATTATTTTATACTCTCTTTTGTTGTCAACCAACAATTCCTTTTCCTACTATATTTCCTCACACGTATTCTGGGGTTCCTGTGAAGCACTTATGATAATTTTTAAGTATTTTTCGGAGCCTCTCCTGCAGCACTTACCTTATCAGGAGGCACAGACTGCGAGCTGGAAGGTGGAAGCTGCACTATCAGGTAGCTGGGGCAACTCGGTGCAGCCAAGTGGTAAAAAGTATTCACATTAATTCAAGCAAAAATAAATTATAAAGGCAAAGGGTCTGCCAGCCCCCTCGTCGTTGTCGGCGACTTTTCGCTGCGTTGTGCATTTTATGACGTTTAATGTGTTTCTGCTGTCAGCAGCAGAAGTTGCAGTCGCTGCCGGCGTCGACGTAGATGCAACTTTTAACTTCTTTTTTTGTGCCGCCGCGTTGAGTGCATTTTGTTGATTTATAATAAAATAATGTAAAAATATTACACAATAATGAATGCGCCGCGCATCCTTCTCGCTCGCTCCCACTTACTTCTCGCATTCTTGTCTGTCTCTTTCTTTGGCCCTCTTTTTTGGGATGAAATATGAAACAAGGAAGTGCTCGAGGTGGAAAAAAGTTTCAGCCAAGAATATGAAATATGCGAGAAATAAAACTTTTAACTAAAATTATATATGTATATGGCCCCTGCATATATCCACTTACATATGTTGCCGATGGTAGGTGTGTGTTTGTATTTGTCATGTTGTTTACGTTCACTTCTTGGCCATATTTCTTTCGCGCGAAACTACACGAAATAATATTGCGGTTTGTTGAATTACAAATACCCTTTCAAAAAGAAAACGTTAAACTTGTTGATATATATCATGATAGTATTGACTTCATCAATTATAAGAGTTGTATAAAGAGGAACAAACAAAACCATTGCCATCGAATTATCAATAATTATTAATTTCTGAATAGTTTAATCTATGTAGGAAATTAATTTCATTATTTCATTCATTAAAAAAAAAGCAGTTTAAGAACAATATTTTAAAATATTATTTTTAATTCATACATATCCTTCCTGTTAGTTAGTACATTTCCCCTTCTTCACATAGTTCAGTTGCTTCATTGACAACTTATTTTTGGGTAAGGGCATCTGGGAACTTTACCCACAAGGACCTCGAACTTTCCCACACTCAAAGTCAACACATTCAGCTCACATTTTGATGCGCTTCGAGATCGTGGCGTCCTTGCAACTTTATCGCGCCAGAAATTGCATCATATTTCACGGACCACAGCGTGACAACAAAATACATATAGTATATATAAGTAATACTCGTACATACTTCATATTGCGGTGGAAAAACGCTCGCGCAAAGTTCGGGAATGGTAACTTTATTCACCTGGCACCGTGAGGGGCCAACTAAGATGTCTGTCAGCGCGAATAGAAGCGAGCGAGCTGGGTAAAAAAGTTGTCAAAAGTTTCACGCCACACGGCGTATGAGTAATGCCAGACAAAAGTCAAAGATACTTTAAGAATTGCACAATTTATTAAGAATACGCAAGAAGCGGCATCATCGTCGTTTCATTCAAATTTGTAATGACGCCCATTCAGAGCGCAATCTTTGGCATAATTTTGAAAATCCTGAGA